TTCCCAAGTAGAAAAATCCTGAGGGTCTGGCCATGCGAGCACATGGGGTATTGTCCTGCTCTTCGTGTCTCCCTTTTGCATAACACAGTCATGTAAAATAACCAGTATGCATTTAAATGGTCCTTTCTGCATCGTGCAGGTTAAGTACTAACACCCCAACACCTGCTTCCTTACAGAACTTCTCCTGTGAAGAAGGCACTTTTTCATACTTCTCTGTCAAATCTGAAGAAGTTTAACTAGGTCCCATAAACCATCCAATGGTATGAAATCCAGGACCTGTCCGACCCCGCCCCTAGAACACAGACCCGGCCACCAGGACAACCCCAACACGCCCCTAAGGCACTGCTTAATGAAAGCCAGTTGGCTCCAGTTTTATCAAATTAAGTAACACAGTACACAATGTGCTGTAAGTCTTTTCTATCCTGTTGCAGCTATTGCTTTTGAGAGAGTCAGTTAACTTGAATTTTACATTATTTTAAATTTTTTAAGTTACATTCAGGAAATACTGCAACATCATTACTACCTCATTATAAAGGCTTGTAGGCCAGCTGCACACTTGACTACATTGTTGGTCGAACAAAGCAAGAGAAACTGTATTTTAACAAAATTAAACAACATTTGGCTGCCAAAACATACCCCCTATTACTTCTCAAAGCAAGGACTATTATGTGGAGCCTGACACCTGACAGGCTTAAAAAAATTCTTTGGCAATAAATCCTCTGAAGTACAGAAAAATGTTTTTTTTTAAGACCTTCTAAAGAACAGTTTGCCCAAAAGTTGTGCTCATTTCTCCTTTGATATGCAGAAATTTAGTGTTAATACAGCTTAGACTCACAAATAGCCTTTTTTTCATAACAGTATCACAGCAAGTCGTGAACTCAGATCTGTACAATGAGCTAATCAGAATACACTTCTTAGAAAGTATGGAAACAAATTCAGATAAAAAAGGAGACAATCATTTTTATATAACAGTTAATTTATTTCTGCAAAGTTGTAGGAAGCCTGAAAAAAAAAAAATTACACTTAAAGCAAAGTTACATTGCTAAATTGTAAGCCCCGGAGGTAACGCTGACCACAAGAACAAGCTCTGTGAGTGGGAGAGGAAAGGTCCTCTGCCACACGCAGCACTCCCCGGGGCATCCCACGGGTGCAATGGCTTGCCTCGGATAACCCAGGCACAACTACCCTGGGTGCAGTTTGTTGCTGTTACCTTGTCATCCCTAGAAAGGGGAAGCAGCCAGACATGTCACCACACAGGTTTTGCTGGCTGTCCCGGTAGACCTGTGACAGTTACATTGTTTTCAGGAAGGAGGTTGACTCCTTTGTGCTGTGTAACCCTCCCTCTCTCCCCCTGTAGCCCGGCTGGAGGCTCTCCAGGGCTGCCCTGCTGGTGCGTGACGCAGCAGCTCCGACACAGCAGGGCTGCGTCCCCCTGGCAGGCTGCTGAGGAAGAGCTGTGGGAAAACTGCAGAAAGGTGAAAAGTATAAAATGAAAGCCTCTGTTGAAGACAGGGTTTCTTAGTAGCTCAATAATTCAGGAGGGCAAACAACAATTTGGAGAGGCATAAAATCTTAAAGGAAAAAAACCCCAGGGAGGCAAGTTAGTCTAACCCTTCTCCTGCCTGCTGGCTGCCTGGCTACAAAAGACTATCCAAGTGCCTTATCAGGGTGCTATTTATATTTACCCTAACAGTTTGTTAAATCCACAATGTCTTTTGTGTGTAGTAACCAATTCATAGTTACTTTCTACTTTTCCATTCTATATATCTTGCTTGTGGAATCTCTTTGTGCCCAGGTGAAGATGCCCTATAAAGCTGGTTCAAAAGAGGGGTACTAACCATACGCCTAGTATAAAAGTAAACAAACAACAACAAAAATACCACGATGACAGGCTTCATCAGCTCACAGCAAAGCCCACACTTTTCAGTAGCTGTACATTAGATTTCCACGTGAACACCATCACTGTGTTTAGGGCAAGCGTTTGCTTTTAATTTCCTGAGCTACTTAATGGAGGGTTGTTCCTCGTGCTGTTTGTAGAGAGCATGTGCCATCTAAGCTTTTTTTCTGTCACCTCAGAGAGTGGATAGTTGCTGAACTGTACAAAAGCATTGAAACATTCTTGCCCTCGTTCCTTTTGACACAGAAGGCAAATGTTCCTGTGTATGCCATTTTGCTTGCTACATGACCTATTGCCAGCATCCAAGCACAATAGACAAATTTAATTTTTCAGCATTATGAAACAAATTTCACTGAAGGAAGGAGAATAAACCAAAATATGCTGAAAAGAGAGAGAAGAGGAAAAATTAAAAAGTGCATTACAAGAAACTTGTATTTACTACTAACAGAACTATGTAGCATCATGCAACTACTTCAAATAAGCTGATTTACACCACACCAAAAATATTATTTCTTCTCTGTAGAATAAAGCCTTGAAAGAAGAAGCTGATCCATAAGATTCTGAAAGAAGCAGCTGATGCATAAGATTTTTATCATCTTCACCATATCTGTAAGTGGAATGAAAGGACCTGTTATTTAGCTGAGTGGCACTTTGCTTCTGATGTGAAACATGCAGCTTCTTGGTGATTTCTCTGAGAACGCTGCACAGTCCTTGAGGATAAAAGACATTAGCTTTGGGCTCATTAACTTGAGTGTAGTTTTAGCCTGTGTGGTCCTCCCAGGCAATGCCAGAGCTTGCGCTGTACGCACAGCACAGACAGGGCTGAGAAGCGCTCAGCAGGTCTCTGCACATTTTCAGAGCACAGTATGCTTCATCAAGAATTTTATTAAAATATAAAAGAGGTTATGAGGTTAGCATTTTCACTGTTTAACAATGCAGAAAAAACAGTACTTCTGTTGTACTGCTTACAGTAGTTCTTTACCTAGACTTCTAAAACCTGTCCATCAAACCTGATTTCTGGCAAACTCAAAATATCACACTGGATGAAATAAAATGGCTTTTTCCTTCCAGCAATTAAAATTTGAAAGAACATTTGTTTTCAGGCTAAGTTTCTAGCTAAGCTTTCTAGCCCTTTTAAAAAACAAACCAGAAGACACAAGTGGCTGGCTGGTAAAGAGTGCAGCAATCAATCAGGGTCTTTGATGAGCATCTGAGAGGGAACAGGTTGCACAGCAGAAACCCTTGTACCCACCGCAGGAGGAAAACAAACAAAGAGAGGGGCCTGTGGCATTCTGCACTCTTCTCTTCATATAGCTGCTTGAATGCTTTTTTGTATTTGAGGCAATTTAGAATTTATTTAAAAGCTAATTAGTATTTATATACCTGAAAAATAAATATTGTCAGCTCAGAGGAAGGCTGCAAAATGGATAAAGCTGCAAAAGGAGATGTGTCTCCAGCTCTGACCAAACAGTGGAGGTGAATCCCACCACCTACATTTGATTCCACTACACACACAGATAATTGTTAGTAAGTGACTATCCTCAATTAAACACGCTTTGGGGTCCTTCTTCGAAATAGGTGAGGACACTGGCCTACCTAAACAAACATTTATTTAAGAGAAAAATCTTCAAAAGTGCTTAATCAGCACAGTAATACAAGGGCTTAATTAAGCTCACAAATGCTGATGGATTTAGGGTGTCACCCCTTCACAGTTACCTAGGTCTGGCTTGCTCCTCCTTCATGCTAGTTATGCCTCAGAAAGGTTTGATCTTCTTTTCCCCCTTTCCTGGTGGGTCTGAAACCCAGCTAGAGCAGTGGGCTGATCTGGAAGGCCACAGGGCTTCCCGATCTCCACAGCTGACACAAGAGAAGCACTGCCCCTTCTGGCAGCAAACCTGTGAGCTGAACCTAAGCCAAAATGCATTTTCTGCTAGTGGCTGAGAATTTGCAACTCTTGATAGAAAATGCTCAAGCACAGGTGCTTAAAGTGAGGAATGTATTCTAATGGCTTCCTTCAGGACAATCCTGACTGCCGGAATGTGTTGTTGCACAGTAAAAATCCATCAAAATCTCTCTTCTGGGTAAGTAGACACGTTCTAATAGGATACTCCTCCTTATAAATTGTCTGCAGCCATACAATTTAGAGCAAAAATGGGACCGTTATCAACATCCTTGTCTAAATTCTCACACAGTATATACCGAAGAGACTCAATCCAACTATTTCGGCATCAGGCTTCTGTTCCAGGCCACAGTCAGAGCCCTAACAAACTCACATGGCAGGACTTCAAACAGGCCCTCTGCTCTCCTCCCCTGCAGGCAGCCAAGCTATTTGCAAACACTTCCACACATCTTCCTGCCTCTGAGAAATGTAGGCCAGCTTACCACAAGCACAATGTGTGAAAATGCTTTTTAAAAGCCCAGCTGCTGGCCTGTTTTTCATAGACAAAGAGTGAAAGTGCTTTTAAACGTTCTCCGGCTTTCCACTCGATAAACCCTCCTCTTCACAAAAGGAATTTTCCCCTTTCTGGGATGAAAACCACCTGGACTGTCTCCCCTGCCCCACCAGGTAGTTGCTCTAGCACCACTCTCATACTACCCTCACTAAGGTTCTAACCAAACCATAGTACTGGATGGTAAAAAAAAAAAAACAAACCACCAAATACACCCTCAGCTGTGTCTGCTTTTAGATTCTAAATATTTCCATGTATTTTTAAATATCAACATTATCCTTAAATGATTCTTAAGTTAAAAACTTGGAAATTGAAAGGGGTTATATTTGCTTTCATACAAGCAGTCAATCTAAATTCATTCCAATGAGATGAATAAGCAATACTCTGCTACAGCTAGAGCAGAAATTCCTCAGAAATGGGGGATTTAAAATGCGTGTGAAAGCTACATAAGGTAAAAATGAAGAAAAAAAATTAAATAGAAACCATAGATATTTCCTTGAATAATGCTCAGACTTTAATCCATAATTAAAATCCATGATTTCCACTATACTGTTCAAAGGTTTCAAACAAGAATATCACTCAACAGGAAAAATAAATAAGAATTTAATTTAAATTTCAAAGTTGCCTACCTGGGACTAAGATGGTGAAGGAATTTAACCTTCTTTCTCATTCAATCCCAATTTTGTTTCACATTCTTTGCAAGTATGATGACAATGCCTACAATATTGAACACAGATAAAATATTCAAGAACTTTGCTGGATTTCTTCTAATACAGCCATATAGGAAGCTGGCAAATATTCTTGAAGAAGTAATATCTTGCCTACATTCTCCAATTTTTGTAATTGCTTTATGGGCCATAAACTACCAAAGTTGACATCTAAACGTCTCAGCCAATAAAACTCCATTAATTATTATTAACTACCATTTTGAGCAATCGCCAAAACATAATATGATTTTCTAAGCAGGAAAAGACAGTCCTTGACATTGTACCAATGAATAATGAACAAACAGATTTTGGAGCAAAGCATACAACACAAAAGGGGAATGAATAACCACCCTGTGTAACACCAACCGAGGACAGTGATAGTTTTCTTATGTGGGGGAGGAGTGGAAGTAGAGACACACGTGAACCATGAAGAAGCTTCCCATATCAGCCAGGGATTTTCACAGGCATAAAAGCTCACATTGCTCTGAGGGAAAGACATGGACAGACAGAGGAGAATGATTTTCTGGATAGGATTTTTGGAGATGTATTTTGTGAGCAAAAGGTACATATAAGAAGCCATAAAGAGAATGAAAATTAGTACTGGCAGTTGGAGGGGGAGCTTGGAAGAGCAAGCACGACTTGACAAGCAAGAATACTTTATGTGAAGATCTGAAAACTGTGACTAAAACATGGAGGTGCCAGGTGACAGAAGGCAACCATTGAGATCCACCATATGGTTAGAGCTGCAAAGTGTTAAAATACCCTTCCAGTTTGTGCTCTCCATGGTTTGGCATGACAGTATGAGGATAGGCAAAGCCACAGAGGAGGAGGCTGGCATGTGGGTTGAGACTGAAACTGCTGTTAAAATATGAGGATAGTGTAAAAAAAAATCTGCAGCATATTTGGCCTGATGTATGGTACAAAGGAAAGCCTAAAGGGCTGAAGTGGTGTCATGGATGATTGTAAGACACTTACAGGCACAATGCTAGATGAAGAGAGAACTATTAATTGTGCCATCCCACTCAAAAGTACAATAACTCCTTTTAAAGTATGGATTTCCTAATAATAGGTATTACACCACATTTAATTTGCATTTTCTGAAGAATATTTAGTTGTTTCTAAGACTGTCATATATAGCCTAAGAATATGAGTAATACCTCATGACCTGATCACAGAATTTAAATTCACTTTTGCCATATATACATTTTACTATGTTGTAGACTATTTTGATCTAGGATTAATAATTTTAATAAGGACAAACCTTTTTTGTGGTACAATACCAATTTCCTGGAACTTTTTTTGGCATTCTCCTATGTATGACATCTTTCCAATGGCAAAACCTAAGATGCCAGCAACTACAAAGAGAGATGACAAAACATGAGACACAGCAACTGGTCCAAGACAATGCATGCAGGAAAAGGGTACCATATTCAGCTGGAATGACAAGATTTCAGCTTTAGAGGAACAGATCATAGGGGGAGCCCCCAGTGAAATTAATTCACCATGTCAGCACTAATTTCTCTTGCCCTTGTATGCACACCACAGTGTTTTTCTAACGGTCCCAGTTTTAACACTCTCTTATCTGGGTTTCTAAGAAGCTAGAACTTCATCCTGCCATACTATTGCCCTGGGGCTTCCACTCATTACAGAATCAAAGTGCTACTTCAACAACCTCAGTTTTCTCTTGAACTTCTGCTAAAGAGGGAAGCAAGTTCATTTCTTGCCATTTAACAGCCACTTTACTGTACTGTACAGTTTCTGTGCTTTTATTTGTTTTCTTTATCAATTCATGGTCATGAATTAGTTGACATCAAATATACTACATATGAAAAGGAACATACTAGTTACTATTTTATATATTATATTATAGTACAATGACTCCATGATACCATAAGCTGTGTGATCTACTAGGCATGGATGATCAATAAGGCTGAGATTATTTATAAAACAAAGGAGATGCTGGAGTTTTTACCAATTTGAGAGGCTATATTAAATAAATATAAGCTGAAACTGAAAATTAAAAGAACATTGTTTTATACATGTAAACACAGCAGAATTCTGATTCCAAAAACCACTGTAGTAACATCTTAGAAAATAGAAAAAGGAATAGTTTGAAAAGAAATTCAGAGAGATGCATCTAATGTCTACATAATATCTGCAAATAACCTTTTCTTTTAGAATTGTGTAGAACTTACTTGCCATCTTAGGTAATGCACCAAATCTTGGGCTTGCTGAGAAAACACCTACAATAAAAGGAAATAGTCAGAAAGTTTTTTCACTTGAGGAACTCAGCAGCACTCAAAACCAAGACAGTATTTTTCCTACAAGCTTTTGCATTTCTGAAGGTGAAGACTGGAAGACTGTACAAAAAAAAAAATTAGAAGTCCACTAACTGGGATTTAGGAACATCATGGAACACTTTCCATTCCACTAGTTCTTAGTGCATTTTTTTGGGGGCAAACCTAGGGTCATAGGAGGAAAAAAAAAAATCTGGCCTTTGCAGGATTCAGTCCACCCAGGAGCCTGGAGTGTAAATCAGCAAATCAGTAAATCAGCAGGGCTGCCACTGGTGACACCTGCAGAACTGCAGGAGGACGAGATAGTGGCTTATGTTTCAGCACAAACCAACCTTGCCAATATAATGGCAACCCAAAATGTCTTACTCAGGGTCCAGCTTCTTGTGCTGCGAGCAGTAGACCCAAGGAGCCCATTCTTCAGTAATCTTCTGTGGCTATTGATTAGACTAGTGTTAAACTGTACCACTGGTATTTAGCCTCCTCCTCTGGAAAGCAGAGATCATACATTTTGGCCTTAAAGAGGAGATTACAATGTGCTGCATAAGAAAAGCAAAATAATATCTTTAGCTTTTCCTATCAAAATCCACCTTCTCCCAGTTAATGCCAGGAGTTGGGACCGTTATGCTTCTCAGAGTGGGTGCGTCTGGCTGAGGAGTGCCATGCTGTGGAGGAGGGCTCCACACAGCAAGATGACCATGAAGGGAGTGAACACTGGCTGCACTGTTACTGCATTCAGAGTGCTAATGAGGCTCAGAAGCTCCAGCTTCTTCTAGAGCCAGCGTACTGCATGCAGGCATCAGAGAGGAGTGTTCAAACAGAGGAGCATTCAGCCCAGTCCAGTCTGTGCTAAGTGCGAGGGCCTTCGCCCACTGGCATCTATGCAATTTTAAACTGGGTCTCTCAGGGGAGGAAGGAACAAAACTGTTGTTTGTTTCTAAAGAGCCCTTCCCCATGCAATTGTTGTCACACAATAACGACTATTTCAGATGGGCATCTGTTATTTCACAGCTGATTACAAACATCTAAGTCTATGAGAGAGAAACTGAGAAGAGTACCCAGTGCCAGAGGCTGACATCTGAGCCGCTGAGACAACCCCAGTGTCCTTCCTATCACTGCTCACCCTTTTTCAGATGTGTAAGCCTTTGCCTTCCCTCACATGCTCTCCTTTGTGCCTTCTCTTCTGGTCTGCCTGCAAGCAAACAGGTCAAGGGTGCAAAGGCCTCAGCCATGCATCAGCCTCTTGTGGTATAGCACAGCTTTTAGGTTTTCTACTCTAGTTCTCCTGGTCAACTCAGTAAAAAAAACAAAAAGAATGTGAGGAGGAGGAAACATGGTAATAGTGGCTGCAACGAAACAAGTGACTTGCAAGCACATAGTGAGAAAAGGCTGAGCCATTCCACCTCCTCCATTTACTCTCTCCCACCACCCATCTCTTATAGCCACTGGATTCTTTTCTGCTTCTTGCTTCAGGCCTTGCAATTTTTCTGTCCTCCTACCTGCCCTTGCTCTAACTGGCTGCTGACACAGGCTGAAGTCTTATTTGGTCCTGGGGGATACACCCACCTTAGCAGCCTTCAGGGTAGATGCCCTTCAAGCTTTACCCAAAACGTTCACCTCAAACCTCATTACACATCAGGATGCCCAGCAGGGAAGCTCCAGGTGCAACGTGTAGTACCAGGCTCATACACCACAGAAACGGACTACAATTCTCTTTTGTGTTAGCCTGCAGATCACAAGCCATCTCTGTAAGCTCTCTGTCTCCTCACTTTGGCAGTATTCCTTGTTCCTTTGCACCAAAGCTGTATTCATATTTGTACATGGTCACTGTAAAAACTCTGCCAGCATTTTTCAAATAAACCAAAAGTTAGAGCTACAGTACCCAACTCTCTTGCCCCTGCTCAGGTTGTATGATGCCCTGCTCTACAAGCAGTTCCGTGAAGACTCGACTCAAATACATGTGAATGGTGACAGAATCTAGTCTTTGAATTCCTGAATTCTCTTTTCAGTTCGTGTTCTTTCAAAGGAATAACTGTGGCAATTGCACACATAATGATCAAATCACTAGAACAGTGATGGTGAGGAGTGAGAGTAATCCTGATCTTGAAAAGCAGCAGGCTTTAGGGAAACTTGCACTTCAGTAGAAATTCCAGAGTCTCAACTTCATAACTTAAGACCATCAAGTATTTTTCATATTTACCTTTTGATACTAAGCCCTGGGTGACAAGCATGCTTCCAAGAGACAAAGGAAGAGCTGTAAAGATAAAAATGAGGAAAGTATTTGTTATCAGCCAAAAGGTGTTGCCTATTTGTTAAATACATCACTCTTCCATATGTTAAATGTTTTATATGTTTATAATGTTAAACACATTACTCATCTTCTAAACCTTACCTTTGCAATACTGTCTCAATCACCTGGTTACATCTGCTCATTCAGATTACTAGCTCTTCAAAGTAAGGATGTGTTCACACAGTGCCAGGCATCAAGAATCCTGTAGCATCTGGATCTAATGCATTATATATATATTTATTAAATAGCTTATATAATCTGAATATATCCTCAGTACTGCAACACCAGCAATGACAGCAGCTCCAATTAAATGCTGAAACCCTTTTCAAACTTCTCCTTTTCAAAAATATCCAACTCAGAAACAAATTGACATGGTGGATGTAAAAGGCACTATAACACTAAGCAACTAATTTTTCAGGTATCCTAACACCTAAAGAATTTCACAATCCCAAGATACATAGCCATGTCTGCCTTCCATTCAAAGGCAACAATAAGTATGCAATAAAGTAAAATATTCCTAAGGTTGTTTTAGTAATAGACTTCAAGAATACAATCATTAAATAAATTAATAAATTAATTTTTAAAATTAATACTAAACAACAGCATAATTCAACCACCTTTACTTATAGCAACTACAAAAAAAAATTCAGTTAACCCTATAATAACATATTGCTGAACTTAAAATCAGGTGACAGAGTTAACCTACAATAATATTCCAACCAAACCCAATGTTTTACAATAAACATCATGGCATTTTACATCCAGTTTTGCACAAGTGAATCAAGAAGTCATTCTCAGTACGATGAGAAGAATTTTGGATCATCTACCTCTGTACCAGAAACTTTCCCTTTTGCATTCTTCACGGATCCTTGCAATTTCTCCAGCATTGTGAATTTGTGAGGTGGGACAAAAGAACATGGGCTGAAAGGATGAACACAGGTTAGCTTATTGAATTTAATCTCATGGGAAGAAAAAAAAATCAATTAAAGAAGACAAATTATTTAAAAAACAAAGAAAATACTAAAGCCAAGCAAACAAGCAAAACTCCTTCTTCTGTTGCTTGCAGTGTGATTAAATACTTGATACCTCAATAAAGAAACAGAAAGAACTACAAAGGTTTTAAGTTAAAAGCACTCATTCTGTTGGTCTGTACTTTCCTAAAATAGCTCAGCTGCTGCTTACGCCAGAACTATATTGTTTTATTTCTATTAGCCATTTCTTTCTCATGAGCTACATCACCTTTCTGGGAGAGAAATGACAGGAAATCAAGGCAGAGTGGTAGTTTCTAAAAATGAAGCTCTGCCCCACACAGAAGTCAGTGTAAGTTCAGCAAGAGCAGACTTTGCAGATATTGGGAAGAGGGTCAACAAACTCTTGTCAGATTCCCCTAACTAGCCTAACTTCCTCTCGGAGCAGTTTAAATACATTCATGGCATGAACTGAACTCAACCACACTGCCTCCTCCTTCATAATAATTAGCTTGACAACAAACTTCTTTTAGGCTACCAGCAGCTATTTTTTTTTCCATTTTGATTGTGAGTAAATGTGACAGGATTCTCTCTTGCATTCTACTATCCAGGGTATTGACATGTGGCTATAAGTAGATTATTTTTCTTTCTTTAAGAGTTTACTCTATTATCAGTGTTAGCACTTGTAGTACCATTATTGGACTTCTGAAATACACAGGTGTACTGGTTTTGGCTAGGAAAGAGTTTTTCTTCATAATAGCTGGCATGGTGCCATGTTTCAGACTTGTGACCAAGCCAGTGTTGGTAACACAGGGATGTTTCAGTTACTACTGAGCAGTGCTTACAGAGTCCAGGTGTTTTCTGCTTCTCAGCCTGCCCCACCAGTGAGTAGGCTGGGGGTGCACAAGAATTTGGCAGGGTGCGCTGCCAGGACAGCTGACCCTAACTGGTCATCCCATACTGTATGATGTTGTGCTCAGTGATAAAAGCTGAGGGAAAGACAGAGTCATAATTAAGTTAAAATTAATTGAAATTACAACATTTTTCTGTAAAAAGACATCTACAAATGTACTTATTCTTGAAAGCAAAACCAGACTTTGTGGAACAAGCAGTGCCTTGGGAAAAAGAGCACATGAGTCTATGACAGAATTCTACCTCATTTTATGCCCAACTGATCCATGGGTTTGTAACCAAAATAATGAAATGAACTTATTTGCCGTGGACACACATTTCACATTTTAGCTAATCAATATCTCAGTACTTCTTCAAGCACGGCTCCTACTAAAGTTAATGGTGGGGCTGCTTGGGTAAACAGCGGAGACCCGACTCCACTCCAGGCTCTAGAGAACCACACCAAACTGGTTTCACAGCGGAGTCACAGCAAACACAATGAAATACAAACAGGCTGAGTGAAAGATAAGGAAATTAATGTCAAGGCCATAAGTGCACCAACACGCTTTGCAACCTTTATGCCTCCATACACACCCTGCCAGGAGTTTAGCTGCTTGGGCTCAAAAGTCAGCTCTAACACGGCACAGTTGTGTAACACTGAATTAGACTGCTGTGAAAATAGTGAACCTTGGACAAAGAGCTGCAAGCAGCTTTGTCCAGGGCCTCTGCCCTTTGGCTCAGTAGCTGCTGTTAAGCTCAGGCCCTTGCCTCACTGTGCTGTGGGCCCACCTGTACCTGGCCTCTTACCATGAGGATCCCTGCCTTGCCTTGCTACTGACCACCTGGCTTATCATCAGTCATCCCTTACTCCTACGGACTTGCCTGGCAGTCACTGGGCTGACTGTTGGCTTACCCCAGTTAACATCACTGGATCTGCTCTGCTCCTTGTTCTGGGGTACTGTGGGACTGTGCTCCTTGTCCCCTGAGGTCACAACCCCTATCCACCTTGCTGTCACTCATGGCCACCAGGCCACCTTTCCTTGCAGATCAGCCCCTTTTGGCTGATCTCTGGCAGTGACTGGTTAGTAACAAGGTCATACCAGATATCAATTCCTTCTGGTTAATCACATTCTTATAGCATAAATTGGTAAAATCAGAACCCCTGTGAGCAGCTGATGTCTCCAGCACAGGAGAACACTCAGTTGCCCTCCAGAAAGGCAGGCCCTTGTGCGGCGCTGTTCCTTCCTCTCCTTCTGAATACACACACAGCACAGGCACACACACACATCTTGACAGGAACAAGCTATGCTGGACCAGTACTCAGTCAGGACAGCTCTGCCAGTTTGTAACTAGTTTAAAAAGGATAGTATAAATCAGAGCCCACTGTCTTAAGACTCAAAAGCTTCTAGCCCTCCAAGTGTAGTGAATCAGGAAGAATAACACATAGCCCTTTCTGCTCTTCATTTTTAAATTTAAGCCGACATCTGTTTCTCTCTGCAATAAGAGTGACCAATGCAAAATCCCAGTCATCCATTAGCATCATAAAACAAAGGAGGAAACTCAGCTTACCCATCTAGGTTGCATTGGTAGAGAACTCTTGAGTTTCTGTTGGGTTATTTCAGAAGACATTGTCTCTTTCCTTGTACTCCGCTGCTGATCTGCTGCAGAAATGTATGCGTTTTATGCTTGGCTATGTCTCTTTCTGCTCGGCACAAAGGTAAAAAGCCAAAGTATCACATTGATACTGCAAGTTCACTGTTTACCTAGAAGCAGTAATGACCAAGTTGAAAGGAGTGTATTTTTTTACAGTAGATAGTGTCCAGTCACCTGATTATATACACTTACAGCACAAGGTATCACTTATTAGCAATACAGAGCTGGGTGTAGCCTAATTCAAACAGCAAACTCAGTAAGTACAACTAGATGCTGGATCGTGTACTGCCACAGCACTCTCGATCATGAAGAAATGAGACCAAATATGAGCAGGTCATCCAAAATCCTTCTAGTTTTCTATTGTGCTGGACCTGAACAAAGCCTTCGACACT